ATCTTGCGTGGGTAAATCCCCACTTAATCAGACACAAGTAATGGAAATTTCCAGAGGCAGGTATAAATCAGTATGGAGATAATGAGGTAAGTTCAATCGGGGGGGGGGGGTGAGGTGCTCTGCTAGCACCCTCCCTGATTGAACTAACCTCGTTATCTCCATACTGATTTATACCTGCCTCTGGTAGCACCCTCCCTGATTGAACTAACCTCATTATCTCCATATTGATTTATACCTGACTCTGGAAATTTCCATTACTTGCGTCTGATGAAGTGGGCATTCCCCCACGAAAGCTTATGCTCCAATACTTCTGTTAGTCTTAAAGGTGCCACAGGACCCTCTGTTGCTTCTTACCGGTATAGCATCCAGCAAGAGAGGAAACATTTGAAGACTGGCAAACCCTGCCAGAAGAAGAGAAGTCTCCCAAGAGAAAAGAGAGAGAAAACAGTTCTCTCACCTAATCTAACTATACTAAAAGTAAACAACAACTATAAAAACTAATTAACTTTGAAGAAAGAGAAAAGTCCATGTACGCTCCAGATGGACACACTAATGTTCAGTCTTGGGCCAAGATGGTAGAGAAGGAACTCCGGGCAGCTTATCCACACACCCCTATCTAGACTTGGTGTCTGCCATGAGGAGGTATAGGGCTCATGTGTGGGTCTAACAGACACTACTAGCTTAAAGTCTCCAATCAATGGCTCGAGAGATGCTTGCACACCTGAAGTGGCACATTCTTAGTGACAATACTCAAAGAAAAAATACTGTTCAAATTAAAAGAACCCAGAGTGAAAATAGCAAGATAACACTCCCTGGACCCAATACACAGGGGTTCTCATATCGGCTATAACACTTCTTCAATCGGCAAATATAATTTGTTAGATTTCAGCTTTAAAATCAAACTGGCACCTCAGCAAATTCTTAAAAACTGACCTCCTTTCATGCTGAAATTAGCATGCAGAGAAAAATCACATGTACTAGAAGGTGCACAGGTAAAACTCAGGGCTTATGCTGGTGAGGTTATCCTGACTAAAGGGATATGCAAACCAGACATACGGATAAATAAACTGGAAACATAAGATTTGTATTAATTAGTACCCGGGAAAACCAGCACCCATTATTGGGATAAAAGTATCTTAATTCAAGTCCTTGGTCTCATCAAGAGATTGCAGTCATTGGAGAGACAGGGGACCAAAACAACTGAGAAAGAGTTTGAGGACATCTTGCAGATCATAGCAAAGCTCTTAACAAAGTACAGAGTGCACCTACCCCACAATTCATGACCCCTAGGAAAGTTCTCCTGACCCTAAGGCATAGGCTAAAATAGGATCTAGACAGGCTCATTACTCAGGGAACCAGAGAGAAAAAGCAGAAGAACCAATAGAGCATCTACATTCATTGTTCTTTGTAGGAAAAAAAGAGAGAAAGAGAGAAACCTTCACTTCCATATAGACCCAAAATAATTAAATATGTAAAAAGGGAACAATTTCTCCACTACCTACAGGAGAAATTTTGGGGGATGTGGCTGATGCCAAATATTTTTCTACACTGGATGCAGGTTTCTGGCAGGGGCTCTTACAAAAACAGTTTGTGCACATTCCACACACCTTTTGGAAGACACGGTTTCTGCAGACCACCATTCAGATTGCGTTCAGCAACTGAGATGTTTCAATGGAAAATACAACGATTTTTGATGTTGTAGAGGGTATTAAGGTTTACCTAGATGATCTGATCTGGGGAAAAATAGTAGAAGTCCATGACCAGAGGCTCTGGGTAGCTTTGGAAAGAGCAAGAGCTCCAGGGCTAAAGCTAAACAAACAAAAATGCAAATTCCATGTAATGGAAATAACGTACCTGTGAGAGAACACAGAAATGTGTACAGGTAGATCATAGTAAGTATGAGGCCATTGCTAATGTGCCTGCCCAATGGAAAAGGAAAGGGTACAGAGATTCTTTGGAAGGTGCATTTCATAGGGAAATTTGGGCCTAATTAGCTACCCCAGGGATTGGCAACCTTTGGCACGCCGCCCGCCAGGGTAAGCCCCCTGGCGGGCTAGGCCGGTTTGTTTACCTGCCGCGTCCGCAGGTTTGGCCGATCGTGGGTCCCACTGGCCACAGTTCGCTGTTCCAGGCCAATGGGGGCTGCAGAAGTGGCAGCCAGCACATCCCTTGGCCCGCGCTGCTTCCCGCAGCCCCCATTGGCCTGGAGCGGTGAACCGCAGCCAGTGGGAGCCGTGATCGGCCGAACCTGCAGATGCAGCAGGTAAACAAACCGACCCGGCCCGCCAGCAGGCTTACCCTAGCGGGCCACGTGCCAAAGGTAGCCGATCCCTGAGCTACCCAAACCAACAACCAGAGAATGCTGCTATGCAAAGACTTCCAACAAACATAGCATGCAAATTTTAATAAAGAGTTTGAGAAACTGAAGGAGTTAATGATGTTTTGTTTAGTTAATGAGGCCCAGCACAAAACTAAAATGTCCAATGACTTCTGCAAGCAGGTCATTGGTTCTGTCCTCTTACAACAGTATGGTTAAAACTGGAGACAGGTGACCTACGCATCACAGCTGCTAACAAAAACTGAGTGTCAATATGCTCAGAGAGAGGTGGTGGCCTTGGCCTGAGTACATGGATGTATAAAGTTTCAAGTCTATGGGAAGCCATGTAACTGACCATTAACCACGTACTGCCATTGCCCAAAGAGGCCTGGCAACCTCTCTCTCTCCCCCTCCCCCACGAATACAGAGATTATTTTTTCAAATACAAATGTATGATTTGCAAAACAAATATAAACCTGAGAGATATCTGGTGGTTGCAGACACACTCCCAAGAACAAAAGTCCAGAGATAGACATTGTATATGTCAATTTGATAAATAAATAAAAACACCCACTCTGTCTCAAAAGAAAAGAGGACTGCGATTGCCACAGCAAAACCTCGGGATGAGAACCTGGGGAAAGCAATTAAGGCTATTAGCACAGGGTGTCCAAGAGAGCATATTCCCAGCCCCTATCACCAAGTCAGGAGGAAGTGTTCCGTCCTAGATGAAATTTTGTTTAAAGAAATTAGGATGGTGATCCCTAAGATGTGACAGAAAAATATGTTAAAAGGAATACATGAAGGTCATTTAGGGACTGAAAAATCTCAGAGAAGAGATGGTAGTGGGAACTGTACCTTGAAATGGTTTAACTTACTAGACAGGAAGTTTGGCAAAGGAGTGCTGCAGAAGCCTGTGCTGTGCTATGTGGAAGCAGCTGGAACTGTGTCAATGAATAAATAGGATTTCTTTCAATCACTTGAACCCAGAGTGACTACTGAACACCACAGCTTCCAAGAAGTTAGGAGTATGCAAACATTCTAAAAAAATTTAAAGGAGTCAAGGACCAACCAGTTGCAAGAAGGTATCAGTCCCTTATTCAGGAAAAGCATAGGGTGAAAGGAGTTATTTAGTTTAGGGTCCAAGAGCTCCTCATGGTTCATAGCACTCTCTCTGCATCATGGGTTGTGTTTGCTTACATGTTTACATGAAAAAGATCATTTTCATTACTTGAATCTCCAGTGAAGTTTGCCAGGACTCAACTGTACCAGTGCAAAAGTTTGGCAGCTTGTGGAGGAGCAAAGAGTTCCACTTTGGGTCTTCCTCATATTAGAAGGAAGACCACTTGCTATGACCACTCAGTCACCCCACCTGAGAGTTGAAGAATTTAGCCAGAAGAGTTGCCTCGTTTGGCTGATGCAGTCTGCATTTCCCTGAGGGTCATGACTTGACAGATGACCTTTTTGGCTCCCTCTTGCCCTGGGAGGTGGGCAAAGCTCCTAAGAAAACCATTCATTGACCTGGAATATGCTTGTTCTTGCTGTGGTTAATAAAGCATAGTGCTTGACGTGCCCAAGACCAACTGGTGTTTGGAGGCTCTGATGAGCCAATTGCCCAGCTATGGCTAAGTTCTGGTGAGGGAGTGTTAGCGATGAATCATGAAAATCTTCTAAAGACAGGAGAAAGCTGTCCTGATATTGAAAATGATGAGTCATATGGTGAATCATATTGAAGATGTAGGGTGATAGATGTAGGCAGGTCTTTATCCTGCAGATTGATGGAAGTCAGAAAAATTGCTTGCCTCAACAGCAACAATGATGGACCTGTAAGTATTTCATTTTTAAGCACTTGTAAGTTGGAGTAAAGTGGTGATCAGGGGATTAATTGGGTTACCCAGAGTATTAAGGGGTGGAGCCATGCTTCACACCTATCAGGGCTGAGCCATGGGTGGTCTGTGTATACCAGTCAGCTGCTAAATTGTAGTCCGGAGATGAGTAATGGGGCCAGGAGTGAGCCAGATTAGAATGCCAGTAAGTCAGGGTCAAGCAACAAGTTGCAGGGGGACGCAGACAGCAGAGTCATGATCCAGACAGGTCAGGATATCAGGAAGTCGGGGTCAGATGCCAGGTTATAGACAGCAAACAAATAGCAAAGTCGAGGAGAAACCAGGGTCAGAAGCCAGAGTCTAGGGTCTACAGCAATCAAGGTCTGGAGCATAAGGAAGCAGGCAGGCAGTCTGCGTTGTTGCTCAGACAGCTCCTCATAATGGCTTCCTGGTTTAAATACTAGCATCAGCCAATCAATGGGCTGTGAGGGGCTGCCACTCAGGCCCTGCTGGGCAGTACCTCCTGGAGAGCTTATCAGCAGCAACACAATATAAGCTTCTGTTGTTGATGCAGAAAGCCCAGACCCTTCCCCTGCCCCTCGCTCCCAGGTTCTAGTCCCACAGGTTCTTATAACAGAAGAGGGTTACTCACCTGTGCTGTAACCGGTTCTTTGAGATGTGTGTTCCTGTGGGTGCTCCACTTTAGATGAGTCTGTGTCCCCGTGCATGAGATTGGAGATTCTTACAAGCAATGCCCATTTGGGCAGCACATGCAGTCCCTGTGTCGCACTGCCCCCTGGGGACTATATAGCGCTATGCAGCCAAACCGCCCTCAATTCCTTCTCCATGGCAGACTGCATGTCTGGACTCCGAAGTAGAGGGGAGAAGGGCAGATAGTGGAGTACCCATAGGGATACACATCTCGAAGAACCTCAGTTACTGCACAAAGTGAGTAGCCCTCTCTTCTTCAAGCAGTGTCCCTGTGGGTGCTCCACTTTAGGTGACTGTAGAGCAGTGCCCCTCGTTGGAAGGCTGTGGGCTTCAAAATTGGATCTGGAAGCAATGATAAAACAGTTAATCCTAACACATATTCTGTGGTTGAATCTTGCTCAATTGTGTAGTGCTCTGTGAAGGTGTGGGCTGATGCCCAGGTGGCTGATTCACAGATGTCTGTGATAGGTACATTGTTGACGAAGGCTATTGAAGTGAAGAGTGATCTGGTGGAGTGTATTCAAGTTCCCGAGTGGGGGGTGTCAGATCATGGTGGTAGCAAAGATGAATGCACCAGGGAATCCATTTTGAGAGCCTTTGCTTGGATATGGCTGATCCTTTAGATCTTTCCATAACAGAAAGGAATAGCTTGGGCTACTTCCTGAAGGGTTTAGACCTTTTAGTATAGAATGCTAATGCCCATCTGACATCTAGAGTGTGAAACATCGCCCCTCATTTGTTCTCATGAGGTTTAGGGAAGAACTATGGGAGGTGGATGGGTTGTTTCAGATGGAATGAGGAAGGTACTTTGGGTAGAAATTTAAGATGTGGACTTAAAGTGACTTTGTCTTTGAATGAACAGAACAACCCTTTGATTGATAATTGGTTTTAAATAACCACTCATCATCAAGTCTCATGTCTGGGTGGTGAAACCAGGGCTGGGATACCTAAGGAGACTTCATTTCTGACTTCTTGTTAGAAAGTGTGGTGAGTCAGAAGTTTACTTTTCTTGCAGGTTTGATATAACTTATGAAAGAATAATCACCAGTTTGGGGTGAGTCTACCCCATTTCTCAGCAGTTTCTCCTGATTCCGGTATTCTCAGTTGCGACCCACTGAGGCACAGTAACGGACAGGTTTGGCCGCATAGTGGTATATAGCCACCAGGATTGGCATGAGACAGGGGGAGCACATGTGTGGCCCAAACAGGCACTGCTACTAAGAGTTTCCAATCGCAGGTGCAGGGACTCAGACTCACCTCAAGAGGAGAATCCACAGGAATGGGATAAAATATTTAAATTTCCCCTTAACTTCCAGCTTCCAATGACCTAGTAGAGAAAACTTTTAAAGAGGGTATGAAGATGATAATTGGTGGGAGCATGGAAACAGAGCCGGCTTGATTTCTTGCAAAATACACAATTCCTCCTCAAATTATGACACGCCCTGCTTTCAATAGGAAAGAAGGTGATAAATCATTTGCACTTAATCCATACCAGAGCTGCAACCCTCTATACAGGTAACCTGTGCAGGGGACTAAGGGGGCACCTTATGCCCTCTGATTCCCAAGTGCAGATATATAATATCAGGCAAAATTGTGCACATAATAAATAAGAGCAAATAACTCACCTCACTTGTAAAGTGAATATACTGAAGCATCTTCAGTGTCAACAAAGTTTGATTGGAATCTTCAAGGCGAAACTATGAGTAAGAAGATCAAAATGTCTTAGAATTTTCATTCTGAACAGAAAATTATTCCTATGTGAGATCTTTAAACAGCAGCAGATGTTTCATGAAAAATCTTTCCAAATTAACTGTGATTCACACAAATTTATCAACATATCATTTCACTTCTCTCATTCATTTTTATTAATTTATTTTTTCCATTTTCATGCCAATTATATTTCTGTGATTTTGTTCCTTTTAAAATAGAATTTTCACCCTATGATACAGATTGAAGAGCCTACTATCAAATATTTGTTCTCCATGTAGGTAATTATAGATTGTGGTGAAGTCATCCCTTAACCTGCTCTTTGTTGAGGCTAAATAGATTGAACTCCATGAGACTATTGCCATAAGGCATGTTTCTAATCCTTTAATCATTTTCATGGTGGCTCTTTGAACCCTCTCCAGTTTATCAAACATCCTTCTTGAATTGTGGACACCAGAATAGGACACAGTATTCCAGTAGTGGTTGTATCAGTACCCAATACGGAGGCAAAGATTCCTGTTTAAGCATCATATTAATATTTTGGACAAAGCATCACATTGGAAGCTCATGTTCAGCTTGGAGTAAACATATATTTTAGGAACTCAACCAATCTTGATTTTAAAACTTCAGTGCCAGTAAATCCACCATGTCCCTTTATAAGTTGTTCCAATGCTTAATCGACATCACTGTTAAAATTTACCAGTGTGAATTTATTTAGCCTCAATTTTCAGACATTAGGTCTTGTTATGTCTTCATCTGTTAGACTAGAGAATCCTCTACTATCAGAAATCATCTCCCAATGCTATAGGCTGATCAAATCGCTACTTAATCTTTTCCTTTGGAAACTACCTACACTGAGCTTCTTAAATCTCTGACTGGAAGGCAGGTATTTAATTGTCCCAGTGGGTATTCTCTGAACCCTCATCAATTTTTCAATACCCTTTTTAAAGTGGACTGCACACAGTATTCTAGCAATGATGCAACAATGCTGGAGATAGAAGCAATACCACCTTTTTATTCCAACTCAGTTATTGCTCTGTTTAAACTTCCAATAATTGTGTTAGTTCACTTAGCTACAGCACTGCACTAACAGTTCATGTGCAGTTGGTTATCCTCCATCACTCCGAAATGATTTTCAATCAGTGATTTCCAAGGTATAGTCTTCAATCCTACAAATCACTAATCTCCAAAGAGTAGGTCCACACTGCAGGCTTACCATCTGTTCTTACATGTGTTTTAGCCCAAACCCAACTACCCTACACATGAAAAATTCTTAGCCACATGCTTATTAGTGCTCTGAAGAAATGGTACTCACCTTGTGCAGTAACTTTGGTTCTTCAAGATGTGTCCCCCTTCGGGTGCTCCAAGTTAGGTGTGCTAGAGCCCCCTGTGCCTTTGAATGGAGATTTCTCATAGCAGTGTCCGTTCAGCCCACACATGCTTCTTAGACAGTCTCGTGCTCCGTGCCACTGTTATATAGCACTGCGCTGGAAAACTGCCCTCAGTTCCTTCTCTACCATGAAGCTCCATGGCAGAGAACTCCGAAGTAAAGGGATAGCAAGGCGGGAAGTGGAGCACATGTAGGACAAATCTCAAATAACCACAGTAACTACACACGAGTAACCAATTTCTTTTTCTTTGAGTAGCATACACACGGCTGCTCCACTCTAGGTGATTACTGAGCAGTACCTTCTAAAACAAAGGCGGCTTCAGAATGAGTCCAGTATGGAAGAAAGTACAGCTAAGCCGAAGATAGTATCAGAGGCAGAATCGTGGATTATAACAGAGTGTTTGATGATCATATGTACAGATGCCCAAGTTGCAGTTTTACAGGTTTCAATAATCAGCTCATTCTTGAGGAAGGCTGTAGAAGTGGCAATGGAACTGGTAGAATAAGTGCGTATTTCCAAAGGTGGTTGAATATTGCAAGACTGGTAATGAGTTAATGAAACCTGATATCCACTTGGAAAGTCTCTGGTTAGAGATCGCTGACCTTTTTGACCCATCTGTTAGCAAAACAAATAACCTGTGGGTCATTCTGAAGAGCTTTGTCCTATCTTGATAGAAGGCTAGGGCCCTCCTGATGGCAAAGGTGTGTAGCAGTGCCTCCTGGTGATTTAGATGAGGTTTGGGGTGGAAGACCGGCAGATAAATGGGCTGCTTGATGGAACTGGAAAAAAACTTTAGGTAAGAATTTGGGGTGGTGCCATAGCATGACCTTGTCCTCAAAAACACTGTGTGGGGGGCTATGCCATCAAGGCCCCTATTTCTCCAACCCATCATGCCCACATTATTACTATCAGGAGTGCTGTTTCATTGACAAATGGAACAGGGAACAGATAGCTATAAGTTTAAAGGGCAATCTTGTAAGGCCTTTAAGGACCAGACTGAGGTCCCATACTGCAGTACGGTGTTGGAATGGTGGATCATTGCAGGAGGACATGCAAATGGGACTCCTGTGCATACGTTGTGAGGGTCTTTCCACCAATTCAGGGATTGTTTTACAGAGGTAGGTATGGAAAGAAGCATATTTAAACTGTGTCTGGTTGGTGAATACACAGCTATGAGCCACCCTTGAAGGCAGAGCATTTGAAGACTGGCATTTTCTGCAATGAAAGTAGTAGCTGCCATGTGCCCCAGTAATTTCATACAGTTTCTGACTGGTTTGGAGGCTGAGCTGAATTGTGTTTGCTATGTTAGAAAGAGTCACAAACCTGTGCAGAGGAAGGGTAGGCTCTTCCTGTTACTGAATCAAAACACCCCTAGGAATTCTTAATTTTGCACAGAGGTCAAGGTGGATTTTTGCATGTTCAGTTTGATAGATAAGAAGCTGAGGAGAGCTTACTACAGCTTAATTAGAGCACCAGGAGCCAATTAAGGCCCTGCCAGAGACCTAATTAAAAAACCCTGCTTCCGTCAGACAGGAGGAGAGAAGGAGAGCTGACTGTAGTTTATGGAGGGGTACTGTTATTGATTAGAGTACCAGGGGAAGGGAAACCCTGCCAAAGCAGAGCAGAGGGACTTCCCCAGCACAGACAACAAAGAGAAACACTGCCCAAAGGGAAAGAGGGTAGAAGCTTATGAATCTGAAGGGGCTGGGACCCGGAAAAGGGGATGGACCAGGGTCCCTTCCCTGTTCCTCTTCTCTCCCCCACCAAGGCACTAGCGGAACCATCAACACCCAAGAATAGGAGCAAGGGGTGGCGCCCTGACACATCACAGCAAGGAAAAGTGTAGGACCCACCACAATAGCGTTGGCTATTTTGCCACAAGTTGTAGGTCCAATTCGAGGAAGAGATCTATGACCTCACAAGTTGCCTGAGAAATCAGTTCCATGGAGTGGCCTTTCAGCAACCAATCATCCAGGTAAGGGAATATTCAGTTACCTTGCCTGCAGAGCTGTGCTGTTACTATGAACATAACTTTCAAAAAGACCCTCAGGACAGATGAGAGGTCGAAGGGGAGCACTCAGTATTGAAAGTGGTCCTGGCCAACAATGAAATGGAGGAATCACTTGTGGGATGGTGGATAGCAAAGTGGAAATACAAGTCTTGAAGGTCAATGGCTAAGAACCAATCCTCTTGCTTTAGTGATGGAATTATTACTGCAAGAATCACCATTCTGAATTTCTGTTCCTTCACACAGGTGTTGAGTACTCTCAGGTCTAGGACTCCAACTTCTACTCTTTTTTGGTACCAGGTACTCCCAAGTGTAAGAAAGAGTTTATTTCTTGAAAAAGCAAGCTCTTATTAGAGGGGTCCCTGAAGAGGGACAGAGAAGTGGGATTCATTGGTGGAAGTGAACTAAAGTGGATGGTATATCTTGTGGAGAGATGATCTCCAAAACCCACTTGCCATAGTGATCAACTCCCAGTCTTGCCTGAAGTGGTGAAGGTGGTCACTAAAGGAATGAAGGCTGGTGAATTGATTCAGTTGAAGAGTATAAAGATGGCAATTCAAGCACTCGATCAACCCATCAAAATTGCTACTTGCAGGTGCATGAGTGTAGGTCAGGAGGCTGAAAAGAGGATGGTTTCCTTCCCTTCCTTCTGCTGCTTGGGAGAGTTTCATATCTCACAAAAGTGCTCCATCTGCTCCTTTTTTAAGGACAGGACAAGAAAAAATAGGGAGCTAAAACTGAATCTCTTAATGATGGAGCTTCCCTTCCAACAAGCCTCAGATCCAGGCCAGGAGACTGCCCTCTGTACATCAGTCACTGAGTGAACACCGTCCTGTCAAGTTTGGCATATTCACCTGGGTCTACCTGAGGTAAATCCATGGAGAAGACTCCTAGAAAATGGAGCCATTCTCCACAGAAAAATACATGTAAAAAAGACCTTGGTCCCCATGGAGCAAGACCACTGCAGAGACTTCACGTCCCACACTGCTATAGCTGAGGCTCCAATCTCTCTCTATACCTATCCTGTGCCCAGGGTCCAGGCTCAGCAGAGAAAAAAGAGTCATTGGTCGTCTTGCCAGGTTTGAGTATGGCAATGACTATTGCCTCCTGCCAGGCTTTTGGGATGCATCTGGATTCCATGGGTTTGATGCACAGTTTCACCAGCCATTAGAGTCCCCTGCGACCTAGTTGATGAAGAAATTCTGGGGGGAATACCATCTCTGCCAGCCCACTTCCCTTTCTTCATTGTGGCTAAACCTTCTTTCACTTCATCTGTACTGATGGCCGATGACTGGTTCTGCTCAATAATGATCCAAAGCGGTGTGGACCAATGCACATCCATTTTCATTATCTAAGTCACATGCCACCAGCAGAAGATTGATTTTCTTTTTTGGTGATTCGCTTTCTGTAGTTTCCACAGTGGAGTGTTGCTTTTTAAGATTTCTGAAAGCATTCTCCACACTTCGTCCCTCTCAGATTTTGGAAGGCAATTCAAATCCTTAAACCTTGTATCAAGTGCTGTAGCTATCTTTAGAAATCTCACATTATTACCTTCTTTGTGTTTTGTCAAATCTACAGTGAAAGTGTTTTTAACATGAACAACATGTGCTGGGTCATCATCCAAGACTGCTGTAACATGAAATATATGGCAGAATGCGGGTAAAACAGAGCAGGAGACATGCAATTCTCCCGCAAGCACTTCAGTCACAAATTTAATTAAACACATTTTTTTTTAAATGAGCATCATCAGCGTGGAAGCATGTCCTCTGGAATGGTGGCTGAAGTATGAAGGGGCATACAAATGTTTAGCCTATCTGGCACGTAAATACCTTGAAGTGCCAGCTACAAAAGTGCCATGTGAACACCTGTTCTAACTTTCAGGTGGCATTGTAAATAATAAGCGGGAAGCATTATCTCCCATAAATATAAACAAACTTGTTTATCTGAGCGATTGGCTGAACAAGAAGTAGGACTGAGTGGACTTGTGGGCTCTAAAGCAGTGGTTCTTAAACTTTTGTACTGGTGACCCCTTTCACATCGCAAGCCTATGAGTGCGTCCCCCCTTATAAATTAAAAACACATTTTAATATATTTAACACCATTATAAATGCTGGAGGCAAAGAGGGGTTTGGGGTGGAGGTTGACAGCTTGCAACCCCCATGTAATAACCTCACAACGCCCTCAGGGGTTCCGACCTCCAGTTTGAGAACCCCTGCTCTAAAGATTTACATTGTTTTATTTTTGAGTGCAGTAATGTAACCAAAAAATATCTACATTTGTAAGTTGCACTTTCATGATAAAGAGATTGCACTACAGTACTTGTATGAGGTGAATTGAAAAATACTATTTCTTTTATCAATTTTACAGTGCAAATATTTGTAACAAAAAATAATATACAGGGAGCACTGTACACTTTGTTTTCTGTGTTGTAACTGAAATCAATATATTTGAAAATGAGGAAAAAATCCAAACATATTTAATAAATTTCAATTGGTATTCTATTGTTTAACAGTATTATTAAAAGTGTGATAAATCACGATTACTTTTTTTGAGTTAATCGCATGAGGTTAACTGCAAGTAATCGACAGCCCTAATAATAAATTATAAATTTGAGCTAAATTTGTATTGGTGAAGAACTGATGCCAATATGAAACAGTCTGTTGATTTTATTTCAGAACATATTTTTCTAGATATTTTTAAGACGCCTTCCTCAATCTCAAGCAGATTCATCCAGCCTTAACCAATATTATTTTCACACAGGCTAAACACCAACAACTACAGCTAGTGACAACTAAATTTCATGGTCAGGCAAATTATGTAAGTGAGCTTTTTTCTTCAGTCATAGATTCCAAGTTCGGAAGGGACTACTGTGTTCATCTAGTCTCATCTCCGGTATCACACAGGCCATAAAACCTCCCCAAAATAATTCCTAGATCATATCTTTTAGAAAAATGTACAATCTTAATTTTAAAATTGCTAGTGAGGGAGAATGCACCATGACCCTTAGTAAGTTGTTCTAATGGTTGATTACATTCCCTGTTAAAATTTTGCATCTTATTTGGAGCCTGAATTTGTCTAGCTTCAATTTCCAGCCATTGAATGATGTTATACCTTTCCCTGCATGATTGAAGAACCCATTATTAAATATTTATTCCCCATGTAGGTATTTATAGACTGTGATCAAATCACCCCCTAACCTTCTCCTTGTTAAATACATTGAGCAATTTAATCATTCTCATGGCTTACCTCTGAACCCTCTCCAATTTATCAACATCCTTCTTGAACTGTGGATTCCAGAACTGGATACACTATTCCCACAGTGCCACATACAGACGTAAAATATCCTCTCTACTCCTACTTGAGATTCCCCTATTTAGGGCATCCAAGGATCACATTAGCCCTTTTGGCCAGAGCATTACACTGAGAGCTCAGCTGATTATCCGTCATGATGGCTGAATCTTTTTCAGAGTCACCACTTCTTGGGATAGAGTCCCCCATCAGGTAAGTATGGCCTACATTCTTTATTTCTTGATTTATACATTTACATTTAGCAATATTAAAACACATAGTGTTTGCTTGCACCCAGCTTACCAAGCCATCCAGACTGCTCTGTAGCAGTGACCTGTCCTCCTCAACATTTACCACTCCTCCTGTTGTGTCATCTGCAAACTTTATCATTGCTGATTTTCTTGTCTTTTCTCCATTATTGATAAAAGTGTTAAATAGCATAGGGACAAGAATGGATCCCTGCAGGACCCCATTAGAAGCATACCCACTCTAGGATGATTTCTCATTTACAATTACATTTTAAGAACTAATCAGTTAGCCAGCTTTTAATCTGTTTAATGTGCACCAAGTTAAGTTTATATCATTCTACTTTTTGAATCAAATGTTGTGAAGTACCAAGCCAAATGCCTTAACAAAGTCTGTTACTTTATCAACCCAACTTGTAATCTCATGAAAAAGGATGTCAGGTTAGTTTAACAGGATCTATTTTCCATAAACCCATGTTAATTGGCATTAATTATATTACCCTCCTCTAATCTTTATTAATCAAGTCCTGTATCAGCCAGTCCATTATCTTGCCCAGGATCAAAGATAGTCTGACAGGCCAATAATCAACTGGGTCATCCCATTTTCCCTTTTTAAATACTGGCACAACATTAGCTTTCTTCTAGTCTTCTGGAACTTCCTCAGTGTTCTAAAACATATTGAAAATCAACATGAGTGGTTCACCGCGTTACTCAGCCAGCTCTCTTAAAACTGTTCCATGCAAGTTATCTGGACCTGCTGATTTTAAAATGTACAACATTCATCAACTGAATGATATATTTATATTTCTAACCAATGACTAAAGAGAACAATTCACATTCTAATGCATAAATCAAACTTCAATGCTGCATATATATTTTTACTGGGCGACTTAAGTGCAGAAGGATCACTACTAAAATAATTTATAAGTATCACATTATAATTAGAAAAATTACTTACTTTAGCTGTGTCTGCAACAAAATAACACTCTAAATATCTGCTAGATGTGTACAAAGTGTTTAGTTCATGTTTCTGGAAGAAAAGACATGTAAAGCAGGGCTATGTAAAGTAAATTGATGTGTTTAACTGCATGAAGAATCACAGAAATACAGTCCTGAACCATACCCTCCTGTATTATGTCACCCACACAAAGAGAAAATCTTAACAGAATTATAATTCTTTGACAGGGTAACAAGCGTTGTGGATGGGGGGGGAAGCAGTAGATGTGGTATATCTTGACTTTAGTAAGGCTTTTGATACTGTCTCACATGACCTTCTCATAAACAAACTAGGGAAATACAACTTAGATCGAGCTACTACAAGATGGGTGTATAACGGTTGGAAAATCATTCCCAGAGAGTAATCAGTGGTTCACAATTAAGCTGGAAGGGCACATTGATTGGGATCCTGCTATTGCTCTGGATTTGAGGGATGTGTGCTCCCCAGGTTTGATCAAGCTAATAGCAATCATATTGTGTGTATTCAGCCCCCATGAATTAATAAAATAGAACATCACATAGTTAAAGGTTAATTGGAATAAGCAGGGCTTCTGGAGGAAAGGTCAAAATTAGCTATAGGCTTGCAGTTTCTGTGAACCAGAATGGGAGGAGGGGAGAAGAGAGTCAACACATTGACACTGAAAGAAAATAAGTGGATGGAGACCTTGGATTTGGGTGCCTTATAACTAAGATTGTTAGCAATGTTTGTTGATAAGTAGTTTATTGAAGTTAGGAGAGGACCCAGTAGGGGGTCACGCTGAACTCTATGTTTTGTAAAAGTTATCTATAAAAAGACTAGATAATAGAGTGTACTTGGGAGCAGTTCTCTGAAGCTATCCTGAGAGATTTTTTCCTGCCACCTTACTCTCCGGCGGGGAATCAACCAGACATTGTGGACCTGCTGTCAATTACTCAATCCTGTCTCAAATTCTAGGCACTTATTTGGGATGTTCTAAACCTATTGCTTATGTCTGTGTGTGATTAAATCTAATAAATTATAGTTTTAGATAAGAGCACGCTTACTTGTATTAATTTTCATCAGTGCTGTGTTCCCATTGATTTATTCCTGACACCACCTGGAGTGAAATAGTTAAGTTACCGCTGCTTTTGGTTCTGAAAACCCTGGGTAACACCACAGGGATCAGTTCTGAGTCTGGTTCTGTTCAATATCTTCATCAATGGTTTAGATAATGGCATAGAGAGAACAGTTATAAAGTTTGTGGATGATACCAAAATGGGAGTGTAGTGAGGCCAAGTGGTCCTCCTCTGAGCAGGAGAGTGAGGGACCATTACATGCCCCTTGGAGGGCGGAGCCTATATCGCCCCCTCCCCCTTTGCCGGAAGTACCGGATCGTGGCCGGAAGTAGAAAAGGCCGCCCATGCAGCATAGTTGCGGGGGAGGCTGTGGAGGAGAAGGACACTCTGCCAATTTGGCTGTGTCCCCGAGAGGAACCCTCGCCGAGCAGTGCCCCATCCACAGACGCCGATGAGGACTGGCCCGGAGTGCCTGTTGCCGTCTACCCCAAGGAGCCGGAAGAGGACTGGAGGCTAGAGGTACTGAACCCCGGGATGGCAGGAAGTAGCCCAGGGGCAGCCACGGAGCAGCCAGCTGCCGAGTCAGCTGTGGCTCAGTCGGCGTGTTGCAGCTGGATCCCCGCCGATGCAGGGGCAACCAATCCTGCCCCTGCCAGGGCCCTGGGCTGGGACACGGTGGAGTAGGGTGGGCCCACGTCCCCCTGCCACCTCACCCTGGGGTGGCTGACTCCTTACACTGGGCAGGGAAGTTCTAGCCCTGAGGAAGGAGCCTCCCTTACCAGCTCACCTGCAGACTGTTCATTTGCTGTCCGCCTGAGCTCCGCCCAGGCCAAAGCCAGTCCTGATAGACTGTTTTGTTGCTGGCTGCCTGAGGCTCTTCAAACCCAGGACCCAGCCCTGATAGACTGGTTTGGTTGCTCGCTGCCAGAGCTCCACCCAGGCCAAAGCCAGCCCAGATAGGCTCTGTTTAAGGGTTGACTGCCTGAGTTACCCAAACCCAGGCTAAAGCCTGACAGGGACTATTACTCGCCCAGCCGTATTGTGGGCAATTGGCTGTCTCACAGACTCTGGTCCTGGCCCGACAGGACCAGCCTGAGCGGCCTCCCTCTGAGCGGGAGAGCGAGGGACCATTACAGGGAGGAACTGCAAGAGCTTTGAAGAATAGGATTAAAATTCAAAATGATCTGGACAAACTGGAGAAATGGTCTGAAGGAAATAGGATGAAATTTTTAATAAGGTCAAATGCAAAGTACTCCAATTAGGAAGGAACAACCAGTTGCACACATACAAAATGTGAAATGACTGCCCAGGAAAGAGTACTGCAGAAAAGGATCTGGGAGTCATCGTAGATCACAAGCTAAATATGAGTGAACAGTGTAACACTGTTGCAAAAAAAGCAAACATCATTCTGGGATGTATTAGCAGGAGTGTTGTAAGCAAGATATGAGAAGTAATTCTTCTGCTCTACTCTACACTGATTAGGCCTCAACCTGAATACTGTGTCCAGTTCTGGACACCACATTTCAGGAAAGATGTGGACAAATTGGAGAAATTCCAGAGAAGAGCAACAAAAAAGGACTAAAGGTCTAGAAAACATGACCTATGAGGGAAGATTGAAAAAACTGGGTTTGTTTAGTTTGGAGAAGAGAAGACTGAGACGGGACATAATCACAGTTTTCAAGTACATAAAAGGTTGTTACAAGTAGGAAGGAGAACAATTTTTTTCTCCTTAACCTCTGATGATAGGACAAGAAGCAATTGGCTTAAATTGCAGGAAGGGTGGTTTACGTTGGACATTAGGAAAAACTTCCTAACTTTCAGAATGGTTAAGCACAAGTTAACCTAGGGAGGTTGTGGAATCTCCATCATTGGAGATTTTTAAGAGCAGGCTTGACAAACACCTGTTAGGCATGGTCTAGATAATACTTAGTCCTGCCATGAGTTCAGAGAACAGGACTAGATGACCTTTCAAGGTCTGTTCCTGTCCTATGATTCTATTATTCTATCATTCTCCAGAATACAATTTTCTTGGCACCAACACTCTGAATTTGAAAATAATTGCATGAAGCTAACTGACAGTGATGGGTAAGTGCTACTATAAAAGTATAATCATATTCCTTTGCTAATGGGCTTCTATAGAGCAGTGGTTCTTTATGTTTTTCTGCTGGGAAACCAAAACTACTGTAACCCATTGAATCCCACAATCCTTCATGCAGAAAAGGACTGAAGTCCCAGTGGGAAGTTGCTTTTTAGCTCCTAAAACTGGGTGAAGGCTGGATGTGGTGCTGGTGGGTCAGCATTCCTGGTTTGGCCTGAGGGCCCCAACCAGGACCCTCTGCCTTGTCCTCTCACATAAGCCCCCTCATTCTTGGGTTTTGGTAAGCCTCTGTCGGGGAGAGAGGGTCTTTGTTCCACAGCTGCTGGAGTTCTCCAAATCATCTCCAGTCTTGTCCCAGTATTACTGGATAGATCAGGGTGGTCACTAAGCTGACTCTGCAAGCCTCAGAGTGGCCCTCCACACCCAGTTGCACTTTTGTCATTGGGCAGGGCAGCACTACATCTGGAGTCCACCAACCCCATTATTTTGGTGCCCTTGACCCATACTGGTAGCAACATCTTAGCAACATCTTAGCTGGGCCCTGTTTCCGAGTTGGGTGCCTGCCATTAATGCCTGCCCATAACTGAAGTCCATGAAGTGGCACTCCCACCTGAAACACCCCTGCTGTCCACACTCAAAGCACTTGCCCTTTGGGATCACTGTTGCCTGGCCCACCTCCAGTCCAGTGGGTTCCCTTGAAGAGGTGTATCCCCCTCTTTGGAGCACTGGTTCACCCTCCCTTCTGCCTCTGTAGTTAGGTCTCTCCCTGCGGCCAGGGGCATCTCCTAGGATTACATGTGATTTAGCTGTTCTCAACCTTCCCTCCTAGCCCAGCCCCTGCTATGGGTCAGAATCTTGATTCCAGGAGCACTGCCCTTGGTGTCAGTGTGGCCGGCCTCTCAGTAGGCATGTAGTTCTCCAATAGGGTCATGAGCTCTGCCAAGGTCGATGGCAGATGGCGCTTCACCCCCTCTTTCGCCACAATTGAGAGAATATGGATGAACTGTCCTAACACAATAATTTCCAACACCTGCACTCCAGTCTGTTTTTCCGGATGTAACCAGTGCCAACACTGGTCCTTCAGACATTTGGCCACCATGCAGGGCCAGGTATCTCTCTTTGAGAAACCTTCAGTGGAACATTTTGGGGTTGATATCTAGGAAGTTAAGTATGGCTGCTTTTACCTTGGTGTAGTCTAGTGCTTCAGCAGGGTCCAAGCTCCAATAGGACGCTTGCACAGGGCAGGTTAAGTATGGGGTTATCAGAGTGGTACAATGTTCTAGTGGCCAATGTGCTAGGATAGCCACCCATTCAAAGATGATCAGGAAGGCTTCGGAGTCATCTCCAAGGCCCATTTTTGTGAGCCAGATGGGCAGCTCAGTGGGGAGGGCATCTCCCACAGATCCAGGAGCTGTGATGTGGATGTCCCCTGGGGCTGTAAGAGCATCATCACCTACTCGATCCAGTGTTCTTGTTGTCCCTGGTGCTGGACCGCCAGTTCCTGAATTAGCTATTGTTGCTGGACAGCAATCTGTTGTAGTATGTGCCCTTGCTATTGCTGGTTCTCCAGAATTCATTTCAGCAGCTTTTCTGTAACCCTGGTCTTTTTAGGGTCATTCAATCGGTGGTCCAGTAGTCCTTTTAAGAGGACATGGATGTTGCCCATGTTCTCCACCACGTGTTGGAGGGGTTGGGTTTGGGTCTGATCTCAGCAGCATCACCTGGTGATTATGGGTTATGACACCCAGCAGTGAGCATCAATAGCCAGGAATAAGGGAATCCAGGCCCTCCCTGCTCTACCGGGTTCCAACCCAGGGCTCAATGAAGCAGTAAGTCCAAAATGAGCAGCCTAGGGGATGGGTGCCTCTATGCCTGATCCCTGGGCAACTTTCTATCCTGGCTTCTGTTCCTCTGTTGGTGTCGCTGGTTTGCCTCTGAGTCCCTCCTGGAATTCTCCTGTCTGTGCTCCAAAGGGTCTTCCTCTCGTAGTGACACCTCGTCATTACTGATCTCCGTGATTGAAAGGCCTGTGGTGGCGTGGCATGGAGGACTGGGCCCGTCTGCGTGGGGTGTCCATGGATTTTTGGCTGGAGGCTGCAACATACAACTGCTCACCTGCTTCGTCCACTCAGACTGAGTTAAACTGCTACCTTTTGAGCTCAGCGTCCACTGTAAGCATGCCCACCAGGTGCAGCCTTGTGGCATTTTCTGGGCCTAGAGCTGCTCCTTAACCCTTATTTCTCCAGTGTGGAGTTCGCAGATCCCATCACAGTACCCCACTGAGGCCCAAACTGTGGTCTTCCAGGGGAGTGAGGAGACTTAGGTGTGGGTAGGAGAAGGGACAGCAGAGAATTTTTAGCTATTAAAAAGGGTTTACCCCAGGAGATTGCATATGCCAGGGCAATTTCTTTCAGCCAGTGTCTACCCACATGTCCCACAGACTTTAACCTTTTCCTTGGTTTCAATTTTTTTGTCTTTCCCAGGGACTGATTATTGGATGGTTGAGGATCTGGTTCCTAGCAGGGTCTGGTGTAGACTCAGTCTTTCACGTAGGAGGGAGCTTTCTGAGATATAAGGTAGCTTCTGCCCAGCCTGGGTTATCTCCACAGCTAGGGGAGACAGGCACTGGAGAACAGAGGCCTAACCTCACCTACCTGCTCCCAGTGCACTCCCTCTCACTTAGACCCATTGGTCAAGACTCAAGGAGGAGGAGAAAAGTGTGACAGATCAACTACTCCACTATCCTTTCTTCCCCACAGTGTCAGGCCTTGCCTAAATGAAACAGATGGGGTGGGGTGGGAGGCGGGGGGGAAGGCATGACCTTCTTCTGCCAGATGGAGGTGGAATACTGGATTTTATCTGATCCTGAAAAAAATAAAAGGCAAAGCAGATCTGACAAAATTTCCAGAAAGAAATCAGCAAAGGGAAATAGAGCAGGGACTATCAACTGGGGCATTTAGGCACACATGTTGAGTAGATTTCACGATGCTGACAAACTACTTCCTTCACAATCAATAGATAGGAATGCTTTTAGTTACCAGACTTATGGATGGATAAACTCAGGAGGAACAGAGTTAGTTTGTTCCTTTGACTACAAAGTGAATTTCCAGCACAAATGAGATCACTTCCAACAATGAGTTAGAAAAATGTGCCTAACATGCATGGATTAGTATGTTTTACATCGGGATAGTGAATTATATTTTGTCAAGGCCCAAATTTCTTGGTCCAGGTATAGTCAAGGTCCAGACTCCAGAGAAAATAATAAATAATAATATTAATTATTATTATTATTAAGTAAAAAAAAGATTTTGTGGTCCATTCAAGAGCACCTGGTGGTCCGGAGTTGGCCTGTGGTCTGCCTATTGACTACCCCTGTTCTACATAATACCTATTTACTTGGTGAACCCATATAAAACACTTACATCTACTACAAGCTGTCTCTCCATCTGAACCTTAGATATTTGATGGTCTCTGCCTTTAGCTGCTTGATCTTTCATATCTTCATCTGTTACGCCACATCGACCAGGTGAGTCTTCATCAGCTGCCATTCGATAAATAATGTGTTGAAACGTAGAGGAAGATTTAACAGGTTTAATTTCATAGTTTAAATTGGAAATCATCAAATGTCCCCTGAGAATTGCAAAATTGAAATGTGATTTAGAGATTTGAGAAAACTGAAAAATTCTGCAAAAATATTAGAGCTGGTCAGGAATTTTACATTTGAATTATTTATTATGTATAATGCAGTTTTTCTAGAACTTTTACTAAACTATCCTCCTTTGTCTCCTGAAAGGAAACTGCTATTGAGGGGAAAACATTTCCGATTTAGAATTGAATACCAGTGTTCTTGGTAACACAGCCACCTTTGAGAGGCACAATTACAAGCTCAAAAGGCCCCAAATGGCCATCATGCCACAGACCAGTCATCACTGCACTACCTACTGTTTTACAATCTATAAAATAAAATAAAAAATTAAGATTACACACTTGTGATTCTAGCCCTCTGCAGTAACAGCAAATGACCCTTATCAACTGGTTAGCATGAAAACTGCATTAGGAAAAGGTAAAAGGGCACTAACCTAGTTATTCTGCTATGTTAAATCTACCTTCCCGTTTTAGAAGAAAATTCATAATGTTTGCAATCTAGCATACTGAGGAGTCTACATTACCAGAGTCCAGAGCAGGTGCTGAGAACTGCAACAGATTCTGGGACATCCTCCACATATCCAGAGTAGTAGCAATCATCCTGCAAGGTCCAAAAACATGTTTTTCCTTTCTATCATTAATGCTAGTAGAATAGAATACTGTAGCAGATACTAGTTACATGAAATTAAATATACACAATGCAAAGACTAACTGTTATTGCATCTGGTCTCAAAATGGGGTTCTAATATGAAAAAGGAGTATACGAATGACACCTTTTCACTCAGCAGATCTGTTCTCCTTTGTATTCGGATCTGCTGACTTTGGTGTCAAAACCAAGTTTTGCTGCTTTTCACTCATGTCAGTAGTGCAGAGATAATGCAGCTGAGACTGGGTGAGCTTCAAAGAGAGGTTCTCAAATATTACACCTTTCACATAATGAATTCCTAATACATTACTATTCACACTTCTGCTACCTTACTATCAACAACTAGTTGAAGACTTATTAACAGAAAAGGAGACCTATTGGAAATGACATGAATTTTTCTAATACAATTATGACCAGAGAAAGTGAAGGAAGAGGGATGAATCAGACTCAGTATATAACACCCAAACTATGTAACCTTGCTTCACCTGCTTCTTCAAGAGGTGTAGGAAAGAGTACAGGTTTATATGAAAATCTGACACCATCTGTAACAAGCTTCTGATATATAGGAGTTTTGGCAAAAAACTGAAGTGAAAACGCAGTCTTACTTGTGTATATTCTTCCAAGGAGCCTCTATGTCCAGACATGGGGCTTTTCCCCTTCTCCCCACCAACTGGAGGCAGACCAATTCCAGAACAATATTATGTTTCCTCTTTAGAAGACAACGACATTAAAGTTAAATACTATTTGGTTCCAATCATTTCCAACAGAGCCTTAATAAGAGATTAGGGGATACTTCTTTAGAAAATAAACCAATCTTCTCCTTCAAATTACTTAATAAATGAGTGTATCCTCAAAGGGAGAGTCAGATTGTCAGATGTGGAGAATCCTAGAAAGAATATTCACAAGCAGGACTGAAGTTTCTGATTAATTGTTTGTACTGCAGGAGGTCCTAAATACCCAGAGCATGATCAGGGCCCCATTGTGCATATACTGTTGTAATACTTGGACACAACAGACCTACTCCAGTATGTAAAGCATAGGAGAGCAGAGATCATACAAAACAGTAAACATTACATGCAGTGTACCTGTCTCAGTTTCCTTACCATATCAGGGCATTCTTTGGGATGATACCAGAGTCAATTGGGTTGCCCAGAGTTCTTGGGGCTATCTGGGCTGAGAAAAGTAGGCAGGGCCGCCCTGTACCATAGGGCTCCAACAAATTGTGTGATTTTTCTCTCTCCTGATCCCAAAGCTTCCTCCTTGTCTGGCTCTCCCTGTTTCTGTGTGGCTTACTATTTTAAACCCCCCTGGATTCCCTTAGTATTTCTGCCTGGTGTGTACCTGCTACAGGACCTGTCAGCAATGATGGATCCACATGCATATAGGCACTCATGATACAGCAGGTTTTCATAGTACAACTTCCCAGGATGACCCAGAATTCCTACGCTGTACAGACATACTCCCAATCCATCACATTTCTCCCTTGGAATCAAGCAGGAATACTTGACTAGTACTCCGGGGATGTTTTGGCATCTCAACTTTAGATAACACATCTTCTGTTACTACTTATTAATTCAAACGTAATACATGCATTCAGTCATAAAACAATTCCAACGATCGTACCAAAATACAATTTCATGAAAACATCATAGGTAGGCTCCTACCTACATTGTATAAATCTCCACCCTTACTATCCCAGGGAAGGGGAAACTAGCTGCAGAGTTGGCAGGCCCCCCATATGCTAGTCACGCCAGTATTTCTGATTGGTTTGGGTGGTTCCAAGAGCCTTGGGTCTCCTTCTGTGAGAAGAGTGGTCCTGGTGCTGGGGCCAGGTAGAATCTACTCACTTTCCCCCAAGCCCAGTCCTCTTCTACACACCTCCTGGGGAGAGGTGAGGTGTGTTTCTTTCTCCATCTCCCTCAAGTTTAATTACATCATGACCATATAACCTGAAGCCATAGATTAAGGGGAATGTTTCCACCTCCTTTCCATCTACACTACACCAGTGGTTGCTTCACATACCTCTGATGCTTTTCCCACCCTCTGGTGAGTATCATGAATTTGGCAGCACTTTTTACTACTCTCAGTCCTGCTCGTTCCAGGGGAGTTCAGATGCATGACACCTTTTGTTTGTGCTTGAAGTTTCCCTTTTCCTGAGGAGTTTTGAATCACAGACCTTTCAGCTGTGCCATAGTCTTCTCTGCTCCTAGAGGAGGTCTGGCCCAGAGCATCTCCTAGCTGTACCAGTATCCCACTGCTCCCTGCTGAAATCTGGGCCACAGACACAGTCAGCATTGATTTAGTTTCCCAGGTGAGGTTGGAAAGAGATCTCTTCTCTGAGCCACTGAGTCTGGCCTTAACGGTTTGCATCTGAACCTTCAGAGATTAATTTTATTACATCATCACACAGATTAACACATCAAGTGAAATAACCTCCCATGGTTAACCCAGGACATCCTTTGCTGTCCATATTGACTCAGGCTAAAGGAAAAGTGATGGGAAAGGAAAAGAGAAACCCTACCCCCATCTGATTGCCTATTAGCCCCTGTTTAGGCATGTCATGTATCCTTCTTCCTTGCTCCCAGGGGCATGACTTGTCTCTGTTCTCCTATTTGAGCCAGCTAAGTTTGACCTGGTCAACAAACTTCTGTTCAATTCGATCTGCTCTTTCTGATACTTGGGCCATCAGCTCCAACCATCTCTCCTCCAAGAACATTCATTTCCACTCCAGCCTCCACAGCTCTGGACCTCTTGTCCTTTCTGCTACATCTGCTGAATCATCAGAGGAACAGCCTCTGGCACTATCTCTTTGGTCAACTGCCTGCCCTACAGAAAGAAAAGGGAGCCCTTCCTGCCTAAGGCCTGGAGCTAGTGCCCCATCCTGCCTCAAGGCATGAGCACAACATGGTCACCTACTCAGATTTCTTCAGATTCTCAGCAGTGCACACATGCTCAGAAGCTACTCTTTCATGAGATGTTCATAATTCATGCTTGCTAATTAACTTTTACCTGAGACAAACTAACAGATGTGCTCCTGACTTTCAGTGTAAAGAGCAAAAGTATAATCCTCTGGCAAAAGTGTCTTAAAAAAACAAACAAACAAACAAAAAAAACTTTCCACACTACCATGTAGACCCCACCTCTGCTACCATTATGTCATAGGCCCTAGCAAGCACCCCCTCTTGGCTACATACTAGGACTGCTGTGAGGGGAAACCAGAGCAGCGGGGGCTTAAATGTTCCAATCACCTGTAACAAATGTTAATGGGGAAAGATATAGAAAGAGAAACAAAAGTTCTGAATTAATCCAAACAAAAAGGCATAGTGATGTAACTCATGGACTGTGCTGAAATCACATCTGGTAAACAAAAGTAGCATCGGGCCAGAAATCAATGGTCCTAAACTTAAGTGTTACAAATTAGGCCTAATTAGTGAACAAAATAAGGGCATGGGCTATTCTGTCTATCACTCCCTTTTGGGATCCTTAAAAATAAAGAAACATTGGGGGAGAAATCATGATTTTAGAGACGTATCTGCTGGCTGGAAGACAGGAGGACTGGGAGGAACAAGCTTCACCATCATGGCTGCCACCCACATAGTCTCCTGGGACTGCAGGATCCACCATAACACTTTTGGATATTCACCATCCTGATCATGAAAGATGGCCTGATCAGACTGGATGAGAAAGAAAGAATGACTCCAATTATATCACCAACTCCACGAAATCTAGCTAATCCTGACCATCACCTGGACTGCGAGGCTGGCATCCCATTCCCCCAACATGCATCCTTTTCCTTCACCACCTTCTTTCTTCTCTTTCATATCTCTCTCCTTTTGCCTTTTGTTCAGTAACAGTCTGGCCTCACTGGCCAAGACTGTATTTTGCAACACAGTTGTAAGCCTGTGACCAGAAACGTAATAAAAAACAATGCCCTAAACCTCCTGCTAGATGTAGGAGTGTCTGATAAGAATATGTTTTGTGCCTGTGTTTCTCCAGCAATGAGGTTGCAAGTAAGAGTCAGCATCAGAGACAGAATCTGCATTTCTACCTTTGCTGTTGTTTTCTCTCTTCCTTTGTGTGTGTTTCTCATTTTTTGTCCTAAAGGAAGCAGGATTAGACTTTAAACAATAGCAGCTCCATCCCATCTCAACTAACTGTTCCTCTTTCCCCCGACAAAAAAGGAAATTTATCATTATCTGTAATACCATCTAACAAAATATCAAACAGGGGAAGGGGGTACTTCTAAAAGCTCTCTATAGCTAAAGGGAAAGGGAATAAGGGATATTGTTAACACAAAGCCTTAATTAATACTTTACATTTCAAATGCTTCAACTCTTTTTTGCGACTTTTTCTGTATCTTTAATAAAAGGTGGACAAGATTTTCAGTGGTGTGTTTGCTATGGCGCTAAGCAGGCCAGGGTCTCTGTATTTATTCCAAACACTGAGCCCTGTTGAACGCTGAACTGTGACAGAGTCACAGTAACACCTTTGAGTCTCTAGGCACATTTATTCCATCAAAATTAACAGAGCAACACTATGAAAATATATAGGCCTTGTCTACACTAAAAATTAGGTCAACACAGCTGTGCTGCTCAGGACTGTAAAAAATCCACACCACTGAGCAGCATGTAAGCATGTAAGCCAACCCCAGTGTAGACAGCGCTAGGTTGATGGAAGAATTTTTTTGTCAACCTAGCTGTCACCTCTTGGGGAGGTGGATTACCTATGCAGACAGGAGAACCCCTCATGTCTTGTAGCTAGTGACTACATTGAATTGCTGCAGCAACACGGGT